TGAATTCACACTGATGGGGTTCTACACCGAGCTGAGAGATCGTACCTCAGCCAGCACTAACTGCTTTCCATTCTGCCTCTGAATTTTGATGAGGAGAGACTGCAATTTGGCCACAGTTTCCTACTAATAGTTGCCTTTGGGGATCGTTACAGCAGATTCAAGCAGTGAAAGACAAATGCAAAGCAACACGGCGAGAGCCTGAGGTGTGTGAGTGTGTGTGTGTGTGTGTGTGGATTACTGCGGATGCTGGAAATTCTGAATTAAGAGCAGAAGTGGCCAGGGAACTCTCAGCAGGTCAGGCAGCATCGAACCCGGGTCCTCTCGCTTGCGAGGCGAGTGCTCCAACCACCGAGCTGCAGGACTCCACAATAATGCTCAGGGTCTGAAACAGTCTGCCATTGAAACCCTCAACGCAATTTCCCTAAACTCAGCACTAACGGGGAACGAGAAACAATTTATACCTCGGTAAGTATAATTGGAAAGCTGACCAGCTATAACAAGTCCATTTTGTGCGAATCAGGTTTCGAGATGCTTCAATCCTCAAACTCATTTTGCTTCAAGGTCTCTGAACTGCTAATCAATTTCCTGAGCACTGAAACAGTGAGGAGTTGGTAATCATTATAATAATAATAATAATAATAATAATAATCCTTACTGATAGAGCGCCTTAACACGTTGTTGAGACGAGTCAAGGCACTTCGCAAGATATATCGAACCCGGGGATTATTACCCCCGGAAAAGCGATCTGCCAATCGACTAACAACCGGGTTCCTACTGACAGAGGCGCGTGTGTGTGTGTGTGTGTGTGTGTGTGGGTGGGAAGGAAACTTGTCTAAGGTTTCTCGTTTGCTCTCGTTTTCAAATCACTTCATGCCCTGGCACCTCCCCGCCTCTCCGAACCCCCCCCAACCCCCTTCCCCACACCCACCCCACTCCACCACCCACCATCGGTGGCCATGCCTTCAGCCACTACACCCCGAAACTCTTGGCACCCTCTCCCTCAATCCCTCCGCCTCGCCCTCCCTCCTTCCCTCCCTCCCTCCCTCCCTCCCCACCTTCGGATCCCCACTTGAAGACCTTTCTTTTCGATCGCGCTTACAGACTCCGTCACCCAATTCTGGAGAGACGGGTTTGGCTGAAAAGAAAAGCACTCCCCGACATATAACGTCCTTCCGTGCGCTCACAGCGAAATCAAACAACCACCGAGAAAAAAAAAAAAAAACCTTTTTGCGTTCGGGAAATAAACCCACAACAGCCGAAATAGATGGAGGGAATCTCAGAAGTAAATACTCTCTATTTATTAAGGTTTTGTAGGAAATTCAGTTAGCTTTAAGTCGATGAATACCGTGGAACATTTACACGCACGCACACGCACACACCCACTCACAGTCAACAAAAGTGTGATTGGTTTTTTTCCCGCCCCCCTCACCCCCGAAAGCAATGATAGAAATGCAGCTTTTATGATGGTTCCTCGACAACATTAATTCACGATAAATTCCTACGGTGTGTTGGCTCACTGCTAAAATGCGGAACTCAGAGCATTTCCCCGGGACTTACAAGCAAGTTTAGCTCTTGTAAAGGTTCGGTCATCTTCATTCCCCTTTCACGAAGCCCGGTGCTCACCCAATGTCCAACGCAGCAATAAAAACGCCATATATTTTTCACCAACGTGTAATATTTCGCCGCTTACGACTTGCGGTATGAATTGGAAGCTTCAAACAGGATTAAAGCTGAGTTAATTAGCCTTTCTATGAAGATGTGTATATACTTTTCAGCATAAATCACCAGCCACGATTCAGCTTGCTCGGTGAATTTTGTTTCTGCCTCCGAGCGGTGGACAAACACCATCGTAAGCGTTGGCCAAAAAACTGTTTAGAAATCCCTTAAATCAGAATGTCCCAAAGGAAAACTGGCATCGAGGCTCTGAATCCTCTGAGTGCTAAAACATTCATTTACACGGTCATCACCTTTACAGTTGACATTCCGCTTCATCGCATCATCAACACGTCTCGAAGCACTTCACAGGATTTTAAGAAGAAGAAAATTCCCTGCATTTGAAACGGCGCCTGATCACGTCTGTGAGACGTCTCAAAGCGCTTCACAGGATACACTGTAAAGTGAGTTGACTGTGTAATTTTTGTGGGTGAAACGCGGCAGCCGATCGCGCACAGCAGCGTCCCCACAAACAGCCGTGGATTGAGTAACCAAACTATTATTATTTGTTTTAAGGGATTATTACCCCCGGAAAAGCCATCCGCCAATCAATTAACAACCGGGTTCCTACTGACTGCCGGTAAACAGAGGCGTGTGTGTGTGTGTGTGTGTGTGTGTGGAGTGAGGAAACTTGCCCAAGGTCTCGCCCTGACCTGCCCGGGAATCGAACCCGGGTCCTCTCCTTTGCGAGGCGAGGGCTCTAACCTCTTGAGCTACAGGAATCCATTTTACTGTAAAGCAGGGGAAGTGACTGTATTTTATGGGTGAAGACGGCAGCCAATTTGCACACACCAACGACCCGCAAACAAGCTATGGAGAGTGACCAATTTAATCCGTAGGCTTGTCAGCCCGGCCAACACACAGGGACAAACACCTTTCTCTTTTTGAGCGGTGCCGTGGGATCTTTAACGTCCTCCTGAACAGGCAGACGGGAACCCGACTGAAGAGTCAACTCGACTGTGAGGGATTACTGACATGGGGCTTGAACCATCAACCTTCCGACCCACAAGGCGAGAATGCTACCAACTGAGCCAGGCTGTGCTATTAATAACAAGATATTTCTCTCTCTCCTCCCTCCCTCCCTCCCATTTAGGCAAAGCTAATCTAATCTCCCCCTCCCAAGACTTTTATCGACGTAATTAGAAAATGATAAAATAATGTTGGGGACTGACTGGACTTACAATCTGATATAATACATTATTTACATTTCACTTTGGGAGGACATCTCAAGGCTCGAACGCTTTGACGATGCTGGGATGGAGACCCCCAACATCGCGGTTGGGGGGGGGGGTTGGAGGGGGTAGAAGGGGGAGGGGAGAAGAGAAAGGAGAGTTGGGAGTGGGGGCGAAAGCACAGACAAAGAGACACACCTTGAACGAGGGGATGACGGGAGCGAGCGAGAGGCCTCTGGGATGGAAGTCTATTTGGATGGAGTCCGGGATCGATTTCAAGATCCTCGCACTTTTTTCCGCCTCAATGCCCCGGGCACCTCCCTACCTCTCTCTGACCTGGCTTACCCCCCAACCCCACCCCGGCCCCCAACCCCCAACCCACCGTCTGGCTCCAGCTTCCTGCATGTCCCTCATTTCCCTCCGCTCCACCATCGGAGACCTCACTTTCATATTTTGCGGGCGAAATGCGGAAGCCGATCGCGCACGGCAGCGCCCCCACAAACAGCCGTGGATTGAAGTGACCGAATTATCATTATTATTATCATCATCCCCGGAAAAACGATCCAGCAATAAACTAACAACCGGGTTCCTACTGACTGCCGGTAAACAGAGCCGCGCGCGCGCGCGTGTGTGTGTGTGTGGAGTGAGGAAACTTGCCCAACGTCTCGCCCTGACCCGCCCGGGAATCGAACGCGGGTCCTCTCGCTCGCGAGGGCTCTAACCCCTGAGCTACAGGACTCTCGTGCGCGATGGTAATCCCTTTCTTTGGGCACCAGATGGTAGGTGATGACTATCCAAGGTTATTTTAAGGGAGTGCGAACGGGTTCGATCTTGTCTTTCTGTGCTGAAAAGTCTCAAAGGAAAGTCACTTTGTTATGGGGTCAGCCCGACGTCTGACACACACGGAAACGAACCACCGAGCTCGAGAGAGAAGCCCAAACTAGCCCACAAACAACATCAACAACCTGCATTGACACAGCGACCTCCACACAGGGCCTTCGTCACCTGAACCCATCGCGCCGTCTTGTGAAATAAGTTGAACAGGGAAACAGTTCACGGTAACGGTTACGGGGTTGTGCTCTGAAGCTAACGGCTGCAGTTTGGTTTCTTCACCTTGGAATCTGATAACAATAATAATAATGATAATAATAATGATAATAATAATAATAATAACCACTCGCATTTGATTTCACATCAGAGAGGATGTCCCAAAGCACTTTGTGGGGTATGACCGTAAAGCAGAGTGACTGTGTGGCTTTGTGGGCCAACGAGTGTAGTTCGATGTTTTGTTCATCTGTAGACTTTAGCAGCTGTGTAACTCCCCCCACATCAGCCCCAACCCCACTGCCCCCCCCACCCCGCCCACTCATCCCTGACCCACCTCCCACCTCCTCCTTCCCCCCCGGTGACTCTCTCTGTCGGGCCTCCGAGCTGTTGTTTCAGACAATCTGAGCAAATAAACAATTTTTTTTTGTTTTTGTTTGTGTTTTTTTTGCACGAGATAATAGCACAGAGAGCGATGGCGTTTGGTGAGGTCTGAATAATAGCCACGGTTTCATGTTAATGGTTCTTCTCTGGGTGGGTGGGTGGGTGGGTGCGTGCGAGGGGTTGGGGTGAAGGGGGTTAGTGGGGGAGAGTGGGGAGAGGGGAGAGGGAGAGGAAGGTTGGTGGAGAGACAGGGGGAGGGGGTAAAGTAGGTGAGGGGAGGCAAGGAGAGGAGAGAGGAAAGGGGAGGGTAGGTAAGGAGAGGGAAGAGGGGAGGGGAGTGGAGAGGAGATGGGAGGAGGAGAGCTGAGGAGAGGAGAGGAGAGAGGAGAGGGAAGAGTAGAGAGGAGGAGAGGGGAGATGAGAGAGGAGGAGTGGGTAGGGCGAGAGAGGGAAGAGGAGAGGGTGGGGGAAGAGGACAGGGGAGAGGAGATGAACAGGAGAGGGGAGAGGCGGGAGGGAGGGAGGGAAGGAGGGAGGGAAGGAGGGAGGGAGGGAGCTGTATCACGTCAGATGGAGCGAGTTGGCTTTCAGGTCCTTGTCACATGCTAACATAATAATACTCTTCTTTTGACAACGACAACGAAATAAAATAAAAGAGTTGTATTTTCATAAAAAAGAGATGTCTTGTGCTTGGCGCGGAGAGAAACCCAGACGTTAACCGTCCTCTTCCTCCTCTTCTGGTTCTACCGGAATGTTCTCTGGGATCCTGAAGCATTCCTCGAAGTAGTTCATGATGGAGTTGTAGAGGTGGTGTTTGACTGCTTCTTTCTCCATGAAATGCCCCTGATCGGGGTATAACTGCAAAGGCAGGTGAAATAGCCAGTGAGAAACCAGGGGACAGGTCCGCGTGCGCGTGTGTGTGTGTGTCTGTGTTTGCGTGTCTGTACGTGTTGCGTCTGTATGCGTGTCTGTGTGTGTCTATGTGTGTGTCTGTGTGTGCGTGTCTGTGTGTGTGTGTCTGTATTTGTGTGTCTGTGTCTGTATGCGTCAAAGCGCTTCACGGGATACACTTTACAGTGAATCGACTGTGTATTTTGTGGGCGAAAGGCGGCAGCCGATTGCGCACAGCAGCGTCCCCGCAAACAGCCGTGGGTTGAGGGACCAATTTATTTCTTATCTTTGAAGGGATTCTTACCCCCGGAAAAGTGATCCGCCAATCCACTAACAGCCGGGTTCCTACTGACTGCCGGTAAACAGGCGCGTGTGTGTGTGTGTGTGTGTGTGTGTGTGGAGTGAGGAAACTTGCCCAACGTCTCGCCCTGACCCGGGAATCGAACCCGGGTCCTCTCGCTTGCGAGGCGAGTGCTCTAACCCCTGAACGACAGTGCGTGGATTTTGCCCCTCCACGTACTCAGCGATACTGGAAATAAATCGTACCTGCAAAGAGTAGTTAGCCTTCGCTTCGACTAATTGGGTTATAAACTCTGCCGTGTGCTGGAAATGGACCATTTCTGAAAGGGAATCACACACACACACACACACACACACAAGTTATAATAGCCATCCATGCAACTGACATGAATAACAACAACAAAAATCTTTACATTGGGTACCAGCGCACTTCACGTCGGGAGGACGTCCCGAATGCTGGTTTGCAGGATATACTGTAAAGTGCAGTGAGTCTGTGCCCAACTCTGCAGCCAATTTTTCCCACAGACTGCCATGAAGTGAGTGTCCAATTTTTTTTTGGGGGGTGAGAGCCAGGGACACCGAGAGAGAGAGAGAGAGAGGGAGAGGGGGGGGGGGGGGGGAAGAGAGAGAAACTCTCTTCTCTTCTCGAACAGCACCGCGGGATCTTTAACGTCCACCTGAGCAGGCAGGAGGGACCTCTCTGCGATGGAGCGTCAACCGATGGAGCGATGGATGAACCCACAACCTCCTGCTATCAACTGAGTGCCATGCTGACGCTCTTCCAATACTCAATCCCCCTTTTAGTGGTATTTCGCTCACAAAACACACAGTCACTACACGTTACAGGGTATCCTGTGAAGCGCTTTGAGACGGTCTCGAAGACTCGATAAGGCGCTGTGTGAAATGTGAGGATTATTATTATATTAATATTATTATTATTATCATAAGGTTGTGCTGGTTGCATGTGTTTGTGTGTATGTTGGGGGTGTCGGGTGGGAAGAGGTTAGACTTGGCGGTGACGGCTCTCTGGGCCTCTTGTGGGTTTCGCTTGGTCACTTACCATCCGCAGTCCCGTGGATTAACATTAACTTCTTGTCCTCTAAACGTGGCACCCGATACATCAGCTTCTTCTGAGGACAAAGAGGAAAGAGTTTAACAGTTCAGTGTCTGCTTCTCAACCAATTAGTTAGTGATCGCAAATACGGCTGCAGATATTTTTTTTTGCTTTGAGTTGGGAACCTTCAGATCTTTTTTCTGGCTAACCCCCTACCAACACCTCCATTACTGTCGCAGCCGACTACCTGGATGGACAGACTAGGACAACCTTGGCCGTTCGTCCTCCAGTAATTCCTGGGCTCCTGTGCTGATGGACTCACAGACGTTGTGTTAAAAACAGAGATGCGTTTGCACTCCGGGAGGGACTGTGACCCGTCTCTGGGATTTACCTCGTACGCTTTGTCGTCTTTCCCGAGAGCTCCCAGGTACCGCTCGGAAAAAGCAGAGGCTGTGGAGAAAATTCACGACAGATCAAATCGTAATAATAATAATAATAATAATCCGAACAATAATCCACGCATTTGATATAGCGCCTTATCACGTCACGTGGAGTAAGGAAACTTGACCAATGTTTCGCCCTGTCCTGTCCCGCCCGGGAATCGAACCCAGGGTCCTCTCGCTTGCGAGGCGAGGGTTCTAACCACTGAGCTACAGGCCTCCTTATAATGGGAGCGGGCCTCTCCCCACACTCCCCCCCAATCCCCACCACCACCATATTTCATCAGTACCTGGGCCAGGGTCTGCCAGGGTCTGCCAAGTGTGAATCTGGGGGGGCAGGATATCCCCCTCTCAAGCACTCGTCAAACTCTGCCTGTGCCGGAGTCCCTTCGACTCGTTCCCTCTTTGAAGGCGTCTCCCGAAACATACCTCCCTTTGAGTTATCTTAACCCCCGTCCCCAATCTCCCTCCATCCCGTCCCCGCCCGCCCCTCCCAGACTCTCACCCCATCCATTTGAGACGTGCGCTCTCACCGTGAAAGGCAGGCGGGTAAATGTAAATTGTCTTGTATAATAATAATAATAATCCCGGCATTTGACACAGAGTTTGATCACGTCTTAGAGACGTCCCAAAGTGCTTCACGGGATACACTGTAAAGTGTAGTGACTGTGTACTTTGTGGGAGAAACGCGGCAGCCGATTGCGCACAGCAGCGTTCCCCACAAACAGCAGCAGTGGATTGAGTGACCTTGAATTATTATTATTTATTTTATTGGTATATAAATTGGTATCGCAGTTCAATGGATTCCAATTTGCCTCAATCATAACAACAATCATAACAACAATAATAGTCCTTGCATTCGATATAGCCCCTTATCACGTCGTTCAGACCTCTCCGAAAGGCGCTTCACTGAATACAGCGTGAAGTGTCGTGTGTATTGTGTGGGGGAAACTGATCCCCCGAGGAGGCTGGTGGTCAGTTTGTGATGTTGATGTGTGACTGATGTCAACGCTTACCATACAGTTTAAAGTCCGTGATCGGCGACAGTGCGATCCCGCACTTGAATATGTTCTCTCCGTTGGTGAGCAGAAGCAAACTCAGATAACCTCCGTACGCCTTGGGAGAACAACACGGATGAAGAAGGTGAGGTTTCGTTGTACTCCAGTGATTGACGCTGAGCGTAATAACGATAACAACGACCCTGGCATTCGACACCGCGCCTCGTCGCGTCTTCGAGCCGTCTCAAAGCGCTTCACAGGACACGCTGTGATTGCGCCCAGCGACGTCCCCACAAACAGTCGGATTTGTGAAGCGTCTCGAGATGTCTCAGTGACGAGATGAGGCGCCAGTTTAAACGCAAGTACGACTTGTAGAAAAGTTCGAATTAATTTTCTTTGCCGACGCTGATCTGACGGGATGGGTCCCGACCGGCCCGAAGCTTTGCAAGGCTACAAATTTACGTTTGGGTTTGAGTTGCCATGTGTGGTCGATGGTATAAAATTAAATTTCAGAGACATGGCAAAGCAGGAGCTGTTAATATTCCGATTGAATAGCGAGATACTGTCAGAAACACCATCATTTTTTTCTGTGTGACCGCACAAGCAGACCGACAAGAGATGTTCGGAAACATTAATCATTTGAATTTACAAGATTCGTGAGAGCTCGGGGATGACCGGGGGGATGGCTTGTCAATCTCTATGCTGAACATTGTGCTACATATTGTGTGTCAATCTGGCTCAGTTTCATAAGCCTTCCGTTTGCCTTTGACGCAACGCCTCATCATGCCTTCGAGACGTCTCAAAGCGCTTTGCAGGATGGACTGTAAAGTGTGCGCACAGCAGCGTCCCTCCCGCAAACAGCCGCGGGTTGAAGCGACCACATTATTATTACTGCTGCTATTGTTTGTGCTCGTGGTGAAAAATTTGCAGGGATGTGGGGAAAGAGGGGGTGAGGGGGGGGGTGGTGTGGGGGGGGGGGGGGGGGCAGCGCCTCCTTCTGCGCTGTAATGTTCTACGATTCCATGCTCTGGTGTTATCTTACCAGCAGCCCACTAGGTGACAGCACATAACTGAAGACACGGACTGGTCCCTGGAAGGATTTGAATGGGATACGAGAGCAGGCACGTTACCTGGCCAAACACTGCAACTCTGGTCTTGTCGACGTACGGCTCCTTCAACAACGTTCTGAAACATCAATGCACCGGGTCAGACCAAGAGGAACCGGCCAGGGCTGGACTGCACCCTCTGTGCCGGTCTCCAGCCCCCGGCTCCTGAGCCAGGAGGGGCCGCAGTATCCCAGGGCGCTCACCGCTGACGGCAGCTCAGCCCGGCCCCGGCTCATCCATCGGCAGGAACCTGAAGTGCCGACCGGTCACTGGGGGCAGGGAATCCTCCCACTCGGCTCCTGGTAACCCCGCAGCCAAAAGCCCTGACTACCTAACGGGGAGGGTGGTCCCAGCCGGACAAGCAGCGGGAAAGCTTGGCCAGACAGCGCTCTCGATGGTAAGCTAATGTGGTCTTAGCTGGTTAGACTCCAGCCGTTACCTCCAACGCACACTCTGGGCTCCTGCCCCCCCCTCCCCAAGCCTCGGCTCTCGCCAAGCTGCGCCTAATACTCTCCGGAATTAGGTCAGTGGGGTGCGACCCTCCAGGGAGAGAGAGAGAGAGAGAGAGAGAGAGTGCATTCCATTCCAACGATCTATCTCTGGGGTTTCCAGCTGTAGGTGGGAGGCGGGGAATTCTCAGCTGCGGTTTGGAGACTCTTAAACAACGGTGATGGGTTTCCGTCCCTCCTCCCCCCCCACTTCAAAAAAAACTTTGGGTTGAATCATAAATTCAATCGAAATTTTTATGATTCCGATTATTATTATTATTATTATTATCATTCTTACAATCGATTCTTTAAAGCTATTATGATAATAATGACCATTATTACAATCGAAAGGAATTCACCTCAAAGCTTCGATTTGATCCTTCTCCTCCACGATGCCCAGTTTGTTCTGGACTTCGTATAAAAGTTTGGTGCCTTGGAAACCGCTGCCACGTCCGTCAAACTTCACCACGATGGCGTTGAGGGAGCTCGCCAGCGCTGAGGGCCAGCCTGTCTGGAACTGCTCTGTCACTAGTTGGCTCCCTGGGGTGCCATCACTGGAGGGAAATATCACACACACCATCACCGATCATCGTTGCATTTGTTGCAACGGCACAAAACAAGTGGTTGCGGAGTCCCAGTAGCTCAGGGGTTAGAGCCCTCGCCTCGCAAGCGAGAGGACCCGGGTTCGATTCCCGGGCGGGTCAGGGCGAGACATTGGGCAAGTTTCCTCACTCCACACACACACACACACACACGTCTCAGTTTGCCCAGCGGTGAGTAAGGAACCCGGTCTTCTGTCTCAGGGGCGAGAGCCAGGGTGACACAACTTGTCAGGGCTCTTATAATAATATTAATAATAATCCCGGCATCTGACACAGCGCCTGATCACGTCATCGAGACGTCTCAAAGCGCTTCACAGGATACACTGTAAGGTATGTTTTGTGGGCGAAACGCGGCAGCCAATTGCGCACAGCAGCGTCCCCACAAACAGCCGTGGGTTGAGTGACCAATTTATTTATATTTATTTTGAAGGGATTATTACCCTCGGGAAAGCGATCCATAAATCGTCGAACAACCGGGTTCCTACTAACTGCCGGTAAACAGATGGTTGAAGGAGGTAAAGTGCGGTGAGTGAAATATAAAGGTGAAAATAGCTTCAATAGATACAATTGGATTCTCGTTCAATGGGATAACAAACAGGTGTTTTATGGGGAAAGAGCGGGGGAGTGGGACTGGTTCGCGTCTGTGATTCTAGGTATTTTAATCACTCGTTGGCTGGGCAGAGCAAGACTCACACAATGAGCAGCAGAGGGTAATGGGAGACCTCGACAAATCCTGCCGGCTTCATAATCTTCATCCTCAAATCTGCAAAACATTGAGGCAAAGTGACATTCACTGGTCTTTCAAGGTTAAGCCCTACAGACAGCGCTCTCTCTCTCTCTCTCTCTCTATGATAAACTATGCGTTTTTCAGCTGATTCTAACCAGCAGTTACCCCCAACGTACACTCTGGGCTCCCCCCAAGCCTTGGCTCTCGCCAACCTGTGCTTAATACTCTCCGGAATTAGGTAAGCAGGGGGGGGCGTCTCTCCAGGGAGAGAGAGAGAGAGAGAGAGAGAGAGAGCGCATGTCTCCCGCCTCGCCTGCCCCACCATTTGCGGACGGGCCTTCAGCCTCTCTGCCCCCACCCTCGGGAACTCCATCCCACAGTCCCTCTGCCTCGCCCACTCTCTCGCCTCCTTCAAGACCCGTCCTCAAGACCCAACTGCGCCTTTGGTCACCCTCCTCCCTGTCCTCCACCCCCTCCTGATCCCAACTCACCGGCTCGGGTCCAGATCCCTAACTGTCCAGCGCCTTGGGACGTCCTCCTGACGTGAGAGGCGCCGTGTGTAAATGACATGCAAGTTGTCTTTAGAAAACGCAGTGTGGCCTAAGTGGGGGCGTGGGGAGGGGGCCCCGCTACCTTGGGAGGGGGAACGGGATGGAGGTGGAGGGGGTTGAGGGAAGACAGGCTGTAGTAATTCACCCCAAAGCAGAACAGCTTATAATATAATAATAATAATAATCCTTGCGTTGGATACACCGCTGGTCGGGAGGATGTCTCAAAGCGCTTCACAGGATTCGCCCATCACAGCGTCAAGTCTCTTTCTAAATGAATTCCCAGTGTCTCGGCCTCAATCAGCCTCCCTCCCAGTTGTTAATTACCCTCAGGGTCAAGAAAGAAAAGCTTTCTCGTGTCTGTCCCGAAATTGCCTTTTGCGACTCTCAACCTATGGCATCCACGAAACACACAGTCACTACACGTTACGGTATATCCTGTGCAGCGCTGTGAGACGTCTCGAAGGACTTGATAAGGCTCTATCTCAAATGCAAGGCTTATCATTATTATGATTATTATTATGATTATTATTATGTCCTCTTGTTCCACTGCCTTTAGTGCGTCTCAAAGTATTGTTCTGGGTTTACTTTCTCAACGGCGTTTACATTTTTATACACCTCTACCGGATCCCTCTTGAGATGTGGTCTCCGATTACTAAACAGCCCGGCTTGCCTCTCGCCAGTGTGTCGGCCCTCCCAAAATAGGGGTGTCGTTCCGAGGCCGCAGACCTGCGCTCGAATCTGCCAGCGATCAACAAGGGCCGGCCTTGCAGCGGGCAAAGCAATCCGAAGCTTATTGCTTTCAAATTCCCAGCCTCGGGAAGACACTCAAGGGCAACGATTTTCTGGACTGGAGTGAATGGAGACGGGTAGCAGACTGGATCGATAGACAAAAAGGCAGCAAATCACATATTTAACCCTCAGACAGATAGTCGATTGGTTTTTTTTCTTTGTGTGTAAGCATAAATAAGTTACACGCCACACGTGAATTATTGATGCCCTCCCCCCCCCCTCCACCCCCCACAGGCAACCTATTGTGATTTAAGTGCAAATCAGTCACATTTAACCTGTGGTTCCTGAGTGCTTTACTGACACTGATGGGAGTTTGAAGCCTGGGTTCCATCCATGATGTTCGGGTTCCTCCCGTTAGAACAGGCACCGGTACAACACCAACAGACAGACAAGAAGGATTATACACTGCGCCCCCTTCGCGTGGGGTGGGGTCCGGGAGAGCTTGACAGTGGAGGAGTCTGACCCCGAGCCAAGGGGTGGGGAGAGGGAGGGAGGGAGGGGACCCAAAACCGTCAAAAAGGAAGGTCTTTAGGCGGGATTTGAAGGAGGCATTGAGGGGAAGGAAGGGGGGAGAGGTGGAGGGATGGAGAGAGAGAGTGGCAGTGGCTGAAGACACAGGCACCCATGGTGGGGTGGGGGTGGGTAAGGAAATCGGAGCAGTAGGGAGGTGCAAGGGCATGGAGGGATAACAGATATAATCTTACAATGCCCGGGATGGGGATGAGGTGGGGGGGTTGGGGGTGTGGGAAGGGGGAAGAGGGGCAAGGAGGAGGATGATGAGGGAGGGGGGGATGGAAATTTTACAAAATAAGAGTTAAAAAATACAAGCAACTCGTCCAGTCGTAACAATGACCGGAAAAAACACACAGAGAGGAGGAGATGTCACCACACATTACAGAACCAATTTACACTGATATCAAACGCATTGTTATTATTGTTAACATTACGGTTATTACTGTTTTATTATCACGATGTCTGGCAGCTACTCACTGTATTCCTCTATCAGGACATCTCTCATCTCGATGTTGGGCATCTGCTTGGTTTTGAGGTGGTCGCGGAGTTCACCGTTTTCCTCCAGGACAATGTAGCCTGAAGGAGAAAGAGAGCGGGGAATTCGAGCTCACTGTACAATCCCTCCAAGCGCTGAGTCCAACCTGTGGCGTTTATTACCCGGATTCCTTACTGATTATCTGTTCCAGAAAATTGTTCTGAACAGGGGTGTCAGCCTGGCTCAGTCGGGGAGCACTTTCTGTCTCTGATTCGGAAAGTTGTGGGTTCCAGCCCCGCGTTGGGGACTTAGAACTGGTTTAATAATAATAATAATAATAATAATTATTATTATTCTGACTTTTTCTGACTCGAGGAAGATTGTAGAAAAGTTACCCAGGAAATCTTTAGCAACTCTGCAGCCGGATCGATCGCTTGAAGGCAAAGGCAACTGAAGACAGAAGCAATAACAGCGAAACATTTATAGCTCAATAATAAAACATTCGACTGAGGTATTGCAACCCTCTATCCTTTCCACTCCTTGCTGTTTTCTGGCCCGGTGATAACAAATATAGTTTGGGTGAAAGTCTTTGGTTTAATTGAGTTAAAGAATGCTCGCCGTGGCCTTCACGCGAAGAGTTAGTGTGTGCAATTTCGTTTGGAATATTCTTACCCTGGTGGGGTGTGTCTCTTTGCTTCTGGTCTCTCTGGAGCCTATCCGGAAAAGCAATCCGCCAATCGACTAACAACCGGGTTCCTACCGACTGCCGGTAAACATAGGCGCTCGTGTGTGTGTAGTGAGGAAACTTGCCCAATGTTTCGCCCTGACCCAGGAATCGAACCCGGGTCCTCTCGCTTGTGACAGGGACTGCGTGTGTTGTAGTGTAGAATGTGTTCCGAGGTTGGAAGCTCGAGGTCGCAGCGAATACTTACTGTTGCTGTCACTGGAGCTGTGGACGGTGACTGTGGGCACTCCTGGACCTGAGAAGATAAAAGTAACAGATCAGACGAACGGAAGTGAGAAGGTACTGCACAACTGGGACAACTGGGGTTTACACAGCCCGACAGCACGTGCTATCAGGACCTGTAGATGTATTTGAGGGAAAGCTGGAGAGGTACACGAGGGAGAATGGAATACAAGGTTAGGGTTGAAGGCTTAGTTGAGGAAGGGCAGGAGGAGGGCTCATGTGGAGCGTAAACACCAGCACGGACCAGTTGGGCCGAATGGCCCGTCTCTGTGCCGCTTATTCGAATGGATTCTAGGACCTGGTTTTATCTGAGCGCTTCATGCATAAATAATACTAATAATAATAATCGCGGCATTTGACACAGCGCCTTATCACGCCTGCGAGACGTCTCAAAGCGCTTCACAGAATACACTGTAAAATGAATCGACTGTGTATTTTGTGGGCGAAACATAGTGTTTCACAAACAATCTAATAATAATAATAAGGCAATATATCAAATATAAGGATTATTATTATTACAATAATTATTGGCTGCTGCACTCATCCACAAAACACACAGTCATTGTATTTTACTGTGTATCCGTTGAAGCATTTGAGGATGTTGTCCTGACATGAAAGGGTTATTATTATTATGAAAGGGTTACTGAATGCGAGGATTATTATTGTTGTTGTGTAAAGGTTACTGGCGCTTTCGATCGGCACAAGATGGGCTCCACCTGCCTGTAACTTAATCTCCCCGAATCGTGACGGTTAAAGATTAACGATTCTGCCCGAAGCACACAAACAGGACAGCAAAATCCTCAATCCCACTCCCACGCTCTCTCTCTCTCTCTCTCTCCCCCACAGCCCTATAGTGCTCCCCAAATAACTGTCTATTAATAATAACCCCTACGTTCAGAATCGTCCCACTCAGCTCCTGTCAACCCTTGCCAGTCACACGCCTGAAGGTTAGGGTGGGGTTTCAATGGCAAGCGATGCATATTTAACTGGTTAAACTACAGCAGATGTATTATTAATGTCTATTGAATATCAGTGAAGGGGGTGGGGGGGGGGGCGGGGGAGAGAAGGGAACAATATAACAGACGGTCTTGTCGTCACAGAACTCCAGTGAGCGATTGATTATTGCTCTCGCGCCGCACGCAACAGGCTCTGTGTTGATGATGATGCTCACACGCAGCGTATCGATCGGTTACTCGGAAAGCAGAGGATTATGGCCGAGGCACTTGAGAGGATAAGATTGGACCTGGACTAGTGCATTAATATAAGAGATTTACGCAGCAGGGCAGAAGATTCATTGGCATGTCTCGCACTTAATTCACATTACAGCGTGGCCTGTGAAGCGCTTTGAGACGTCTCGAAGACGTGATGAGGCGCTGTGTCAAATGCCGGGATTATTATTATTACTACAGAGCCGTGCAATCAAAAAGCCATTGAGATCAGTGCCCGGCAGCTTCTGCTCTGGCTCACTGCAGGGCTCATAAATGATTCAAGAGATCAGGGCGGGAAGGAGAGAGAGAGAGAGAAAGCGAGAGAGAGCAAAAAAGAGAGAGAGAAGAGAGCCAGAGAGAGAGAGAGGGAGAGTAAGGTCTCCAGAGATGAAGCAGATCAGCTCTGCAGACCCACAGGAAAACAGTAGCTACAGGAACAACCTGTGATTAATAATTATTGTTGCTATTGATTATTGGTTAATTATTCATGTTTGCGGCCGGGAACGATTCGTCACTCCGGCCTCGTGTGGAATCGGATCACTTCCATCCTCTGCTTCCACCACACGACCCCTGATGCGCATCAGTAACGAGGCCGAGATAACAAGAAGCTCTGCTCTGAGAGACTCGATGCAATAACACGACGACTGGCATTTGCTGAGACGCTTAAAACACAGAACGACGACGACAAACTCTTGTCACTCCCTCCCTCATTCCCTCTGTCTCGCCCCCTCCCTCCCTCCCTCCCGTCCTTCAAGTCCCGGCTAATGACCTTCCTCTTTGACCGTGCCTTCGGTCACCTACCGCCCCCACCTCATCCGCCACCCTCCACCCCTCCTGATCCTGATCGGGTCCAAAAAAAACCCGGATTGTCCAGCGCCCCGGGTAGTCTTTCCGATGTGAAGGGAGTGTACACAAGTGTCATTTGTTGTTGTTTGTTTATTTGTTTGTTTGTTTGTTTGTTTGTTGGCCTCGCCTACAGCCACCAATCTTCTCCCCTTTCCCCCTTGCTCGGTGTCCTCAGCGAATGTAAGTTGTTGTTGTGGTGGTCGTCGCTGTCGTGGGTAAATAAGGAACCCCTTACCTTTACAGCGCAGCAGGAAGTAGCTCATCCTGCGGCTGAACAACGCACTGAAGTAGGTGCAGTTTGGCAGCTTCAGGTCGCACGAGAGGCACTGTCTGTTAAAGTTGCTGTTGGTCTCTGCGCTGAAGAGAGAAGGGGCTCCACTTAGCAAGGAATCGCTTACAAACCGGCGCCGGGATTTACACGGAACGTACAGCGCGGGAAACAGGACGCTCGCTCCAACTGGTCCGCGCCTGCGTTTGTACTTTATACGTGTCTCCACGTCCGGCTCCTCCCCCTCTCTCCCCCACTCCCCTCCTCCCTCCCCCCCACTCCCTCCCTCCCTCCCACGCCCTTCTATATTCCCCCTCTCCCTCATGTGAAGGTCTGGCTTCCTCTTAAATCGGTCACTTCAACCCACGGATGTTTCTGGGGACACTGCTGTGCGCAACTGGCTGCCGCGTTTCGCCCACAAAACACGCAGTCACTACACTTTACAGTGTATCTATCCCGTGAAGCGCTTTGAGACGTCTCGAAGACGTGATAAGACGTACGAAATGCGAGGATTATTATTATTATTATATATCAGAGGCCGAACCTATCCAGTCTGTCCTGCCAGGCCTGATATCGCCCCCGTAAACCTACACTGTACTCTTCACTGTGACTACATTGGAAAACTTCACTCGTTCCCTGACAACGAAATTAAGTACCTACATGTACAGCTGTCGACGCAAAGGAGAGTCCTCTGTGCTCAAGAAATAACTGTGGGACAAGAATATGATTGAGTTTAGTAACAGAGTGTAGAGCTAACCGGGCAAACATTATTAATAACAGCAACAGAATATAAAATATTATCCAGCACTCCCGACATTTATATCTACTGTGGCTGTGTGTACGCGGCTCAGATTGTATATCTGCTGTAGCTGTGTGTATATGGCTGGGACACTTACATTTTCTGGTGGAGCTCATCGTAGGCTAAAATCTCGGTCACGTCCCATGTACCAGACGTGATAGACTGCAGGTTGTCACTGCTACTGTTAGGCTGGATAAGGGAAAAAGCAAGGACACTTTCATTAATCCCGGGCTGGGTTGGGCTGGGATGGGATGGGATGGGCTGGGCTGGGTTGGGCTGGGCTGGGATGGGTTGGGTTGGGCTGGGTTGGGTTGGGTTGGGCTGGGTTGGGTTGGGTTGGGCTGGGTTGGGTTGGGCTGGGTTGGGTTGGGCTGGGTTGGGTTGGGTTGAGTTGGGTTGGGCTGGCTGGGCTGGGCTGGGTTGGGCTGGGATGGGATGGGCTGGGCTGGGCTGGGATGGGCTGGGCTGGGTTGGGCTGGGCTGGGTTGGGCTGGGTTGGGTTGGGTTGGGTTGGGTTGGGCAGGGTTGGGTTGGGTTGGGTTGGGCTGGGCTGGGCTGGGTTGGGCTGGGTTGGGCTGGGTTGGGTTGGGCTGGGAGCCGGTTTGGCTGAGCGTGCGGTCAAACAGGTAAGTCTCAAAGCGGGCTTCGAAAATGGGGGTGGGGTGGGGAGTGGGGTGTGGGGGCAAGTCGGAGGGACACCCGGGGAATGAGATCCAGGGGAAAAATGACTGTAAACTTAGGCTGGGGTGAGGGAGGTGAAGCGGGCTGGTGTTTGCTGAGAGAAGGGAGCAGCCGTGGAGGGTATCTGAGAGATAGAAACAGAGAAATTAGAAACAGAAGTAGGCCATTCAGCCCCTCGAGCATGTTCCACTATCCTATGGCAGAACAGACCAAAAATAATGTCTCAAAGACGTGATTAGGCGCTGTATCGAATGCCAGGATTATTATTATTGTGATTAATAGTAAAACCAGAGGACAGACACGGTCTGCGAGTGATTGAAAGGGGTAAAATTCCGAACAAATCTCCGCAAACGGTATTCCAGTGAGCGATCAGTGAGCCTGTGGGACACGCTCCCTGGGGAGGCGGTCGAAGCAGGAAACGTGGATTCTTTCCAACGCAGATTAGATGGTTTTCTTTTAGGGAATAACACGATGGGATACAGAACATAGGGAGTTCAGGACACGTGAGCAGGCGACCCCCAGGGAGGTGGGAGGCCAACGAGGTGGACTTTGGTCTTAGCAGTTCTCGTGTTCTTATGACCGGAAATGAGGTCAAAGAGGCAAGTTTTCAAGGAATCGCACCAGAAGAATTGGAACTGACCTGAGCTGAGGACATGGCGATGTGGTAGAACTTCCCACGGCCTCCCTGGGAAAGTGGCCGGACAAAGAAGAACTTCCTTCCGTCTTTAGAAAACAAAGGCGCTTCATTCTAAAACGGGCAACAACAGCGGGCTTTTAGGATGGCAGGAAGGTTGGAGATGGCGGTGCCCCCGTGCAACCCGCCTTTAGGTCATGGAAAGACGACACGTCGTCCCTCCAAACATTCCGCGTTTAGATCAGAACGGAATGTCAGAATTGAGAGTGAGACAGACAGCGAAAGACACACATCACACAAAAAGAGACGGAGTGATGGCGAGAGACAGAGCGACAGAGTGAGATACACAGACCGAGATGCACGAAGAGAGAGAGAGAGAGAGAGAGAGAGACAGAGGGAGCGTCAGAGAGTAAAAGATGGAGATAGTGAGCGACAAAATGACTTGTCGTCTCAGTTAATTCGGAACTCGTACCTGCCTGGAGAGCCAACTTTCACTTTCATCTTCATGTTTCTGTAACCACAAACAAACAGAAAGACAGATAGATAGACCATCACCTGGTCAAGCACCAAAAATAAACCACAAGGGATCATCCCAAGCTGGACAAAGGCGTTGAGGTTAAAAGCTATGCAAAATTGAGGGCCTCAGATGACTTGAGCAGAGCCATTGGTGCGTGGGTGTGTGTGTCAGATACACAGCTGACCACAATAATATTGACCACAACTTGCTCTGATATACAGCCCTCGCTGTATGTGGTACAGTGTCTCAGAGCGTTGCACGGTGGCTGGGTTTGACACTGAGCCAGGCCAGGGAGAAGGGGGAGTAGGAGGTGTAGATGTAGTCGCGGTCGAAGAGGTTGGGTCTTAAGGTGGGATTTAAAGAGGGGCGGGGCGAGGCGGAGGGATCGAGGGAGAGAGTTCCAGAGTTTCGGGGCGTCATGTAGTGGCTGAAGGCACGGCGGAGGGTTCAAGGGACAAAGAGGATGGGTGGGTAAGACGGTACCTTAGTGCAGACACCGGTGGTGGCTTCGCACAAGGTCAGGATGGAGATGTTCTGAGGTCTATTGAGCCAATTCACTGCCAGTTTTGTGCTTGTCGCCCACTTGACCATGGTGATGTAGAACTCCCTGGAAACAGGGAAATGTTCTGAGTCAAGACATTGATGAAGAACATCGCCAGAAGAACATCTTCACCCGTTGCTAACCTGCTGACCCGCTCGCTGTCAATTTTAACACTGTAGATTCGTACATTTACACGGCGCAGAAGGAGGCCATTCAGCCCATTGTGTCTGTGCTGCTCTTTGAAAAGAACTTCCAATTCAACCCCACTCCCCCCGCTCTCTCCCCATAGCCCTGATCAACCCCACTCCCCCGCGCTCTCCCCATAGCCCTGATCAACCCCACTCCCCGCTCTCTCCCCATAGCCCTGATCAACCCCACTCCCCCGCTCTCTCCCCATAGCCCTGATCAACCCCACTCCCCCGCTCTCTCCCCCTCCCCATAGCCCTGATCAACCCCACTCCCCCGCTCTCTCCCCATAGCCCCGATCAACCCCACTCCTCCGCTCTTTTCCAATAGCCCTGTATCAAATGCAATGATGATGATGATTATTATTATAATAGCCCTCTCCCTCATGGAGGAATATTCCTCTTATCAGGGGAATCAATGATAATCATTGTCATGATTATAATATTGGTTACAGACTCACCTCATTCTTACATCATCTGGTCTTGACATTTCCACAGTGTGAGGTGGACCGTTGACATTAACGATGTACAGGGAAATGGTTGGGTTCTCCATTCCAGCCTGCGGCACGAACAGACGAGGTGAGTGACAGGGCAGGTCATTAGCATCAGAGAAACTCACAGCGCTAAACCACGTCCTTCAGCCCACATCGAGCCCGACCCCGGTTCTCAAAGCAACCTATTCCATTCAATCTCACTGCCCTGTCGTACCCCCACACCCTTCAAGTCTCTTATAAACATCTCTTATGTACCAACAGAAAATCCTGCATTATGTAAGCAGAACAACAACAACAACAAATTACATTTATACAACGCTTTTCACGTCAGAACATAGGAACACACAGACACACAAAGACATGCACACACACAGGCTGTACACACACGGAAACACACATGGGAAGTGATCCACCAATTGATTATCAACCGGGTTCCTGCTGACTGCCCGGGAATCAAACCCAGGTCCTCTCTCTCTCTCTCTCTCTCTCGCTTGCGAGGCGAGTGCTCTAACCACTGAGCTACAGGACTCCCTACGTGTTATTCCGGTGCAAATGAATGGCTGAAGGAAAACTGGTGGAGTCGCGGTCAGCCCACACGCACGTTACCTTAGGGTAAGGGTAGACTTTGCCGGTGGGATAGAGGGAGCCCAGGTACATAGGGATCTCCATGTTGGGGACTTTGGAGTCATTAATGGTGGCGTAAGCCAATCGGGCTCCATCCGGGGCCCACCAGTGAGCGATGTTGGTTCTCAGAAGCTCCTCTGCAGAAGATAAACAGGTTTTATTAATGAATAATAATAATGATGACAATCATAATCCTGGCACTTGACACAGCGCCTTATCGCGTCTTCGAGGCGTCTCAAAGCGCTTCACAGGACACGCTGTAAAGTGCAATGACCGGGCATTTTGTGGGCGAAACGCAGCAGCCAATTGCGCCCAGCAGCGTCCCCACAAACAGCCGTGGGTTGAGCGACCAATTTATTATTATTTTATTAAAATAATTTGAAGGGATTATATCCCCCCCTGGAAAAGCGATCCGCCAATCGACTAACAACCGGGTTGTTATCCAATGCAAGGATTGTGATGACTGTAGTATTTTCGCTTCCCCCAAGCTCTGTGCACCCTGGTTTGCCGACAGTAGGTGGAAGCCTTTGCATGGTTTTGAATCGCAGTGTCTTTCGACAAAATTCAGCAATCATAAAAACATCATCCCCTGTTATTAGGCACTGCCAAATCCCATCACCGTTGCACTATTATTGTCACAGGAAATTAACCTGCAAATTCTACTCGAGAAGGCTACAGTTTCACCTTGCAATGAAAAAAGAGGCTTGTGAAATCGTACACAGTATATTTTAAAGAACGAATGGATGGGCGTGAAAACAGAGACAAAGCAATGCGCTCGGACCCAGCAAATCCACACGTTAATGCACAAAAAAACCCGCGCTTGAAAACTCAACCCAACATTTAGGATTAAGTCAAATGTACTCGCGAAGGCGACTCGCACACACTGAAGATTAAATTGCGGATTATTCTTTAAAGAGGATTAGAGTTTTGCAGCGCTGTGCGGTAATGAATCTTCCTCCACGGGCCAGGCCGCCAGGCAAAGATTTGCCTTTTACAAAGCGACGGGGTGAAGTTAGATGTGAACCGCGTGTGCAAAGAGGTGGGGTCCTGGAGCTCAGGGGTTAGAGCCCTCGCCTCCGAGCGAGAGGACCCGGGTTCGATTCCCGGGCAGGTCAGGGCGAGACATTGGGCAAGTTTCCTCACTCCACACACACACACACACACACACACGCGCCTCTGTTTACCGGCAGTCAGTAGGAACCCGGTTGTTAGCCGATTGGCGGATCGCTTTTCCGGGGGAATAAATCCTTTTTAGGAAAAATGCTCCTACTCTTGACACAACTCCTAGATCTCCATTTGCCTGGTTTGAAGCCTTGTCCACCTTTGCAGTTACTCTTCAAGAGTCTTGTGAATCCGATGGAATATCCCGACGGAAATAGAGGTCAGGGAGAGCGTCTCCATAGACAAGCTGGACAAGGGTCCAGAGGAGCATCTGGGAGGTTTGTTTAATCTGCTTGATGTCCGGATTCCAGCCAAAGCAGCTCAGAGATAATTCTGTGATGAATGGCTGTCTGTGATCAGGAGCGCTGGGGGTGGGGGGGGTGGGGGAGATGGGGGCTTTAAATCCTCTTCATCTTAATCTAAGCACCGTTGCCTTAATAACAAAATAATAATCCTTGCGTTCCATCAAGCGCTTATAATGCCTGATCCCTGCTTTTCACACAGCCCCTGATCACGTCTTCGAGACGTCGCAAAGCGCTTCACAGGATGCACTGTAAAGTGGAGTGACCGCGTGTTTTGTGGGTGAAATGTGGCAGCCAATTGCGCACAGCAGCGTCCCCACACACACAGTCGTGGATTGAGGGAGGTATTATTGCCCCCTCGACCAACAACCGGGTTACTACTTATTGCCGGTAAACACAGGCGTGTGGAGTTAGGGAAACTTGCCTAAGGTTTTGCCCCGCTGGGAATCGAACCCACGGTCCTCTCGCTTGCTCTAACCACTACGCTACGGGATTCCGCAAAGTCTTGGGGGGGGGGGGGGGCACCTTAACACATTGATCTGGATTCAATAATAATAATAATAATCCTTGCATTTGACACACAGCGCCTTAATCACAGCTTCAAGACGTCTCAAAGCGTTTCACAGGATTCGCTATGGAGTGAATTTCTTGGACGAAACGCGGCAGCCAATTGCGCACGGCAGTTGATCGGAGAAGCCTAATCCAGTCTCCTGAACATCCGTGAAGCTCAACAATTTGTGTGAGGCCGGTTGGCTGATTCTCTGGCGGGTGGGCTTCGAAGGTAAATATTATCAGCAGCAATTTCCCACTGCAGTAATTGAATAAATCTCCGCGGAGATGAGTGCAAGATACATTAAGGGATGAGGCAGATTCTCTGCGGATTAGATTCCCGGCGCGTTTTTAGCTGCGCTGATGCCAGCATTACCCCAATGCTGTTACTGCCCTCCAGTGACAGGCTGTCTCCAGCGTAAAGAGTGGGGGGTAATTTGTCATTACGAGAGGAGATGTCAGATCAAGGCTGGCGGAGGTGTGGGGGGTGGGGGGGGGGAAGGGGGTGGAGGGCGGGGGGAGGGAAGTGGGTTTGGGGGATGCCTGGAATTACAATAAGCGATGATGAGGAGGAGGAGGAGGAGGAGGAGGAGGAGGAGGGGGAAGTGAGCTGTGGTAATGGCCACAACGAATAATAATAATCCTCTCATTTGATAAAATGTCTTTCATGCGGGAATAATAATAAAAAAATACTCCCGGCATTTGACACAGCGCCTCATCACGTCTTTTTACTGACTGCCGGTAAACAGAGGCGCGTGTGTGGGTGTGTGTGGGTGTGGGCGTGTGTGTGTGTGTGTGTGTGGGTGTGGGTGTGTGTGTGTGTGTGGGTGTGGGTGTGGGTGTGTGTGTGTGGTTGTGTGTGTGTGGGTGTGTGTGTGGGTGTGTGGGGGTGTGGTGTGGGTGTGGGTGTGGGTGTGTGTGTGTGTGTGTGGGTGTGGGTGTGTGTGTGTGGGTGTGGGTGTGTGTGTGTGGGTGTGGATGTGGGTGTGTGTGGGGAGTAAGGAAACTTGCCCAAGGTTTCCCTCTGACCGGCCCGGGAATCGAACCCGGGTCCTCTCGTTTGCTCTAACCACTGAGCTACAGGACTCGGGCAAACATTGCCCCCTGGAACCTCTCCCCCAGCGGGAGAAGTCAGAGCAGCCTCAGGGAGGCTTAAACCAGAGGGGAAAGAAATTAGATAAAGAAACTAACTAAAGACGTTGAATTTATACATCAATAAAAACAGAAGCGCAGAAATCCCTGCTGCGTTTTGCCCACAGAATACACAGTCACTACGCTGGAGTGTATCCTGTGAACGACGTGATGAGGCACTATGTCAAACGCAAGGATTATTGGGGTTTTTTTTACTATTATTTTCGGGCATAATCTGAAAATTGGTGGAATTTCAGGCCTTGGAAGAAAGGCGTCCAATTAGGAGCAGTTCAAGAGTCCTGGAGCTCAGGGGTTAGAGCACTCGCCTCGCGGGCGAGAGGACCCGGGTTCGATTCCCGGGCAGGTCAGGGCGAGATGTTGGGCAAGTTTCCTCACTCCACACACACGCGCCTCTGTTTACCGGCAGTCAGTAGGAACCCGGTTGTTAGTCGATTGGTGGATGGCTTTTCCGGGGGTAATAATCCCTTCAAAAAAATAATAATAATAATTCGATCACTTCAACCCGCGGCCGTTTGTGGGGACGCTGCCGTGCGCGATCGGCTGCTGTGTTTCGCCCGCAAAACACACGGTCAATTCGCTTTACAGCCTATCCTGCGAAGCGCTTTGAGACGTCTCGCAGACGTGCAGCCAATGCCAGGATTATTATCATTGCTATTATATTCGTGCAGGATACAGTCTCCAAGTGCTGCGCGAGGTTGGCGAGGTTGGGCACAGAGCGAGGGAGAGAGAGAGAGAGAGAGAGAGAGAGGGAGAGTGGGGTGGGGGGGGGGGGGGGGGGAGGCACGGTTGAAGAGGTTGATCTCAGCAAAGTCTTTGTCCAGACGAAGAGGAGTTAGTGTGTTTATCCGGCTCCAGGTCGTTTGGCTGAGCCCAAAGATTCCGCTCGGATGTGAGCGGTGACAGGAACTGAATATCAAACCCAGTCGGCTTCTCCCCCCCCACCCCCCACCCCCCGAGTGATGCGTGCGTTTCTTTTTTTTCCGATTTTAAGACAAAGTCAAACCTCTGTCAAGGACGCTGCCGCGGGGAAAGGCAGCAGCCGCTGACGTGGAACAACTGATTATGTACAACAGCTGCTAACTGCTGTTGCCGAGATTTTTATCATTACGGAACATAAAGACCGTACAAGCGCATTAGGATGAAGCAATGCAAATAGCATAGCTAATGCTTAGACGCAACTGCTCGCACATCAGACAATAGATAACTGGGAAAGGCGGCCACAGGGCATTGGGACTTAATCCCTGAACCTTCAGACTATTTTGTGTTAAATAACAAAAAATAATAAGGATAATAATAACGACTGTAATGATTCTCGCGTTTGATTGAGGACTCCCCTCGCGTCCCTAAATCAAATGCGAAGATTATTATTATTATTATTATTATTATTATTATTATTATTATTATTATTATTATTATTATTATTATTGTCATTTACTGCCAAGTGTAGTGACTGAGTGTGTTTTTTTCGTGGAGACCAAATTACGCACAGCAACGTCCCACAAATAATAATAATCATCATCACAAGAATAATAACAATCCTGGCATTTGACACAGCGCCTCATCACGCCTTCGGGACGTCTCAAAGCGCTTCACGGGATACACCGTAAAGTGAAGTGACTGTGTGTTCTGTGGGCGAAACGCGGCAGCCAATTGCGCACAGCAGCGTCCCGCACAAACAGCCGTGGGTTGAAGTGACCGTCACACAGGCGTGTGTGTGTGGAGCAAGAAAACTTGCCCAACCTTTCGCCATGCCCCGGGCACTTTCCACCCGGGAGGGTGGCAGCTCACCAGTGGATGGTTTGACATAAATCAGAATGACACAGAGAAGCTGCAGTCCACAGATTCTCAAACGCACTCATTTAGATCCATATCTCCCCCGCTGTTCCTCCGCTCAGACTTGATATATACGCCTGCGGTCACATCACTGCTCGTTTCTGAATTAGCAACGGCACTCTGTCTGAAACCCAATCTCCCAGATCACCAGAGGCAATGATAATAATATTATTATTAATAATAATAATAATAATAATCCTGGCATTGGATTCAGCGCCTTATCACAACTTCGAGACGCCTCAAAGCGCTTCGCAGGATACACTGCAAAGTGTAGTGACTGTGTATTTTGTGGGCGAAACGTGGCAGCCAACTGCACACAGCAGCGTCCCCCCCACCAACAGCCGTGGATGGCTCAACAAAGCAGCGATATGTACAATAAAGAGAGTTTTCTGCACTAATTCGGACTGGCCACTCCAGGGTGGACAATCCGACTCTCAAGCGGAGTTGGGGACTCAGCCGATGGAGTCCTGTAGTTTACTCCAATTAATAATAATGAATCAATCACTCAACCCGCGGCTGTTTGTGGGGGACGCTGCTGTGTGCAATCAGGGCGGGGCGAAACCTTGGGCAAGTTTCCTTACTCCACACAGAGCCTAATAATAATCCCTCCAAAAAACCAAAAACAATAATTAAATTGGTCATTTTCAATCTACGACTGTTTGTGGGACATTGCTGTGCGCAATTGGCTGCCGCGTTCGCCCACAAATATACAGTCAATTCACTTTACAGTGTGTTCTGTGAAGCGCTTTGGGACGTCCTCCTGACGTGAAAAGCGCTATATCAAATGCAAGGATTATTATTATTATTATTATTATAATCGGCTGCCGAGTTTCGCCCACAAAATACACAGTCAATTCACTTTACGGTGTATCCTGTGAAGCGCTTTGAGAGAAGTCTCGAAGACGTGATCAGGCGCCGTGTCAAATACCAGGATTATCATTATTATTATTATTATTATAATAAATTACGTAATTTGGCCTTTGGAACCTGAACCTATCTGTGGGGAACTCTCTTTGTCACGGAGACACAGCGGTTCTAGTTTAAATACGCATCGATCGGAGAGGCAGGGCGATCCCAGACAAAAGAAATGTGGGTTAGGTTATATATTTCTGCTCCGTTCAAGGATCGCAATCGATGTAACCTTGCAAGTTGCATTCCGCTCCATTTCAATAGCCTTCTGCTTGAACGGACGAGGCAGGGTTACAGCTGTACAAGCATTCAGTTTGATTTAAAGCGTTTGCCTCTACATTACTGCAGGTCAGTGGGCCAAGACTATCACTCCTCCCTCCTGTTTCTCACGACAGGATTTGAACCTGGGGATGGCAGGGAGGGAATAATATTAATAATGCTCGCGTTTGATACAGCGCCTCATCACCTTGTCGAATCGTCTCGAAGCGCTTCACAGGATATATTGTAAAGTGGAGTCTCTGTAGCTCAGGGGTTAGAGCCCTCGCCTCGCGAGCGAGAGGACCCGGGTTCGATTCCCGGGCAGGTCAGGGCGAGACATTGGGCAAGTTTCCTCACTCCACACACACACACACACACACGCGCGGCTCTGTTTACCTCGGTGGAACCCGGTCGTCAGTGGATTGGCGGATCACATTTCCGGAGGCTAATAATCCCTCGAAAAAAAAACTGTTCACTTCATCCGCGACTGTTTGTGGGGACGCTGTTGTGCGCAATTGGCTGCCGCATTTTTCCCCCAAATACACATTCGATTCACTTTACAGCGTATCGTGTGAAGCGCTTTGAGGCGTCTGGAAGACCTGATAAAGGCGCTGCATCAAATGCGAGGATTATTATTAATGTTGTTAGTATCATTATTATTATTATCGAAGATTCAAAACACAGAAGGTGTCCCTGGTCGACATCAGCCCAAAATCAAATTGGTCGCTCACTCTCTGGCTGTTGATGGCGCAAATTGGCTGCCGGGTTTGACTACAAAATATAATCATTACACTGTACAATGTACCCTGTGAGCTGTTTGAGCTGTCTCAACGATTTGATTAGGCACTACATCCAATGCAGAGATTATTATAATTATTATTGTAACGTCAACACAAGCACTTGAGGCAAAGCAACCGAGCTGTTCAGTTTGAAGTGAAATGTTTTGAGTTTGCATTACATCGGATCAGCAGTTCCTAGTCCAATACACTCGGGAGGTTTCAATCCACTGGTTGCCCAACTGGAATACCAATCTTTCCAAAAACTACCTCTCTTCCCTGCTCTCTAATAACTCTTTTTCTCTCTCTCTCGCTCTCTCTCGCTCGCTCTCTCTCTACCTCTCTCTCGAGCATGAATTAGACAAGCTCGAGCTCTTTAGCGCTGAGAGTTGATGTCTCAGAGGGGATCTCGTAGAGGTTGTGTAACATCTTAAATGAGATTGAACGAAAAGGAAACACGCGATAATGCTTTTTCGAGACGTACCCAGAAGAACACGTGTAGGGGAACAAGAGGGCGCAGGTTTATGACTCGCAAAGCACAATTTCAGTAGAGATACCTTTACCCAGAGGGTAATTAATGACTGGAACAGGTTGCCAGGAAAGGTGATTAAGGACACGATGATGCTGGACTCAGTTAAAAAAAAACAGCTTGACGCTGTGATGGGAGGATGGAACAGCAGGAGACACAGTCACTACACTCTACAGTCAAATCCAGTTTACAATATCAAATGCAAGGATTATTATCATCATTATTATTACCGTTATTATTATCATTATTAAGCCAGCATTATTGTTGCTGGATTGTCAAGCCATATGTCTTACCTTCATACAGCCAGTCACTCAGGCCATTAAAAATGACCCCTTCCTTCCCACTGGCCACGAGTCGGATAGCACGACTGTCCACGTTCAGTTGGTAGTAAATGTTGTTCTCGAAGATGTAAATCTGCCCGATCAGAAATAAGTCAATCGGTTAGTTACAGTTGTGGTTGTGAAGCGAGCTCCGGCCTGCTCCACGTGCCCAGCCTCGCCCGCCCCACCACCACCACCAGCAGCTCCACCGCCACCCTCTGGCTCTCCATCCCGCAGTCCCAGCCCCAGCTCCATTTAATCTCTCGCTTGCTGTCCTGACCAGACAAGCGACAGGAAGCTTCCCAGACTGACGCTCTCCATGGCAAACGGTGTGGTTTTAGTTGGTTAAGTTCTAGCATTTACCCCAAAGCTCTCCCCCCCCACGAACTCGCTCGCGGGTGTCTCTAAGCCTTGCCTGAAGATGGCTTCCAAGTGTAGTGACTGAGCATTTGTAGATGTGTGTTGCAAATGCAAGGGATTATTATTATTATTATTATTATTATTATCCAAATAGGAATTTTAATTCCAAGTCCACTTTCAAACCCCCACAAACTGGGTGTGTATTTTTTGACGGGGTCTTTGATGAAAAGTGACGTAGAATGCTATCTATCATTGTGGTAGAGGTAAGTTTTACAGAGATTTCAGCTCTGTCCTTGAGGATTAAATGTGCGAGATGGTATTTTTTTTGGAGGTGGTGGGGGTGGGGGGGGGGGGGGGGGGGGGAAGGAAATGAAAGGAATGCCTCACCAGCTGTTGGCCTTTGACGCCCCAACCTGCGTACTGCAACTGCACATTCCGAACTTCGGGTGGATTTAGGGTTCGATGCTCCCGGCTATAAAAGAGAAAAGAAGGCAGAGAAAGTCAGGAGCTGCCTATCACTCTCGCCTACAACTCGTGGAGTCCCTGGAGCTCAGGGGTTAGAGCCCTCGCCTCGCGAGCGAGAGGACCCGGGTTCGATTCCCGGGCAGGTCAGGGCGAGACATCGGGCAAGTTTCCTCACTCCACACACACACACACACACACACGGCTCTGTTTTACCGACAGTCAGTTGTTAGTCGGTTGGCGGATCGCTTTCCCGGGGATAATAATCCTTTCAAATTAAATAGTAATAATAATTTGGTCGCTTCAACCCACGGCTGTTTGTGGGGGACGTTGCTGTGCGCGATCGGCTGCCCCGTTTCGCCCACAAAATACACAGCCAATTCACTTTACAGCGTATCCTGTGAAGCGCTTTGAGACGTCTCGAAGACGTGATAATAATAATAATAATAATCCTTGCATTTGATATAGCGCTTTTCACGTCTTCTCGACGTCTCAAAGCGCTTCACAGAACAGACTGTAAAGTGCATTGACCGTACATTTGTGGGCGCAAAGGCGATAAGGCACTGTATCAAACGCGAGGATTATTATTATTAGGAGATTAAATACGGGCGATGGTGTGTGGCAGGAGGTGGCGAGGGCAACGAGGCCAGTCAGCACAGTGACAGTCACAGAGGTCAGTGTGGGGGGGCAGGAGACACTCTCACGAGGGCTTCTGTAGCCTCAGCCGGGATTGATGGGCTCTGTCGGCGAGTTCAGAGGGCGGGAGGAGAAACATCACACCATCTGCTGCGTAGCTGCGTTTCCCAACGTGTTTACAGCTCCTCGGGCGGCTGCTGTCTCACTAGACGAGATGGTAAGGACTGTCCCCAATGGCAGCCTCGGCATTTAATATTAATAAAATAATAATAATAATCCTTGGAGTTGGTAGAGCTCCTTATCACGTCTTCCCAGGGCTCCACAGGACACACTGTAAAGTGTAGTGACTGTGTATTTTGTGGGGGAAACGCGGCAGCCAATTGCGCACAGCAGCGTCCCCCACAAACAGCCGTGGATTGAAGTGACCGATTTTTATTAATGTTACTTTTTTTGTAAGGAATTATTACCCCAACAATAACAACAATAACTTGGATTTATTGGGCTCCCCGCCCAACCCAACCCCCCCCCCCCCCATACCCCTTTTCACACGGGGTAACGTCCTTTGACAGTGGCGGAGCCTGACCCTCCACAAAACACACAGTCACTACACTTTACGGTAATCCCGTGAAGCGCTCTGAGACGTCTCGAAGACGTGATAAGGCGCTGTGTCAAATGCGAGGATTACTATTATTATATTATTATTATTATTACTTTAATTATTATTTTATTATTATTACTTCCAGTTCGAGTTAGTTTTTTGGAGCAATGTTCACACGTCACCATCAGGGGCAGAAGTTCAATGTTTTTTGGGCGGTTGGACGTCTGCTCTCCCACGAGATCACAAGATTAGTTCGGATTAAGTAATCAGCCCCCCCCCGCGATCTCATCCCTCCAGAACATTCACCTGCCATCAACCCCGCTTAGCAGTCGTCAAACCGAACTCATAATAATAATAATAATAATAATAATAATAATAATCCCTGCTTTTGGTATAGCGCCCGATCAAGTCGTAGAGACATCTCCGCTGTGCGCAATTGGCTGCCGAGTTTCGCCCACAAAACACACGGTCAATTCACGTTACGGTGTATCCTGTGAAGCGCTTTGAGGCGTCTCGAAGACGCGATGAGGATTATTTTAACGCCAGGACCCATCCCTTTTGGCCACACCCCAACAACGGTAAATGTGAAGTCTGTGTCAATGACAGGGTCACTTATGATTATATCTTATTATATTTATTACCATTGTTGTAAGAGGGTGACTTACCAAGAGTGTAACTTGCACAAGATGTAATAGGCGGTGAAGGAATGGCGGTGGACCTGAAAAACATTACGAACACAATTTAATTTATAATCCCCGGCTGTTTGTGGGGACGTCGCCGGGCGCGATCGGCTGCCGCGTTTCACCCACAATACATGCGGCCAATTCACTTGACAGTGTATCCCGTGAAGCGCTTTGAGACGTCTCGAAGACGCGATGAGGGCTGCGTCAAATGTAAGGATTATTATTATTATTATTATTATTATTGCAGAGGGTGGGGGGGGTGGGTTCGAGGTGCTGAAGGGAAGTGCAGTAAGTCAGCGGTTTCCAAGGACATCGTTAACATGGCTGGAAACGAGCGAGAGGTTTCACAGGAATCGTTTTCATATGGATGGGTTATTAAGGACGTCAATTATTTTCCTCACCAAACACCGCCATCGGAGCTGCTGCATTTGGCCTCAGGGACCTTTAGCTTAAGGAGAGGAAATTGACCGGAATCGTAGAAATGTTAACAGCGCAGAAATGGGCCGTTCAAGTGGTTTTTCCCCCCCCCCCCGTGAGCCAAACTAATTTAGCCAACTCACCTAATCTGTGCCACGCTCCAACACCCCCCCCCCATCCCCCACCCCTCCCGCCACCCCAGGAGTTCCGTTACAGCCTCGCGCTTCGATAAATCTCCCTGGGTTTTCTCAGATCGCGAGACCCTCCCCGCTCACACCAGCCACAAACTCCACCGTTCGTCTCAAAGCCCACTCGGTAATTTCGCCCTCAAGGTTACACGGTCGATTCACTTTACAGCGTAGCCCGGTGAAAGGGCTTTGAGGCGTGGCTTCATCGTGTGGCCTTTTCAACCGCGTCCCTAAGTCCCCCCACTCCCACCCCACCTTCTCGCTCGCTCAGCATCCAAACCCTGCCTCTGTGAGGCGCTCTGAAACATTACGCCACGCGCGGAGGGAACTGTACGCATCCTCGTCGCTCCGGTTGTATTCGGGGCCATTCATGACGGCTTTGCCTTACTCTGGATCCGTGATCGCATTTCCCCTGAATGTGGATCTAACTTTACGTGTGGCAATCTCTCTCTCTCTCCTTGTGTCGTCAGTGTCTACGCTAGGTGGCACTGCAGAATGATCTGTGCGGTCGGGATATCGAGGAGCTTTGGATGCTCTGCGCTGCACAGAGCAGGATTTTACCACTGATCACACAGCTGAACCGGTACCACGAACAATCGTCCTTGAGCGTTAGGTATCGCGCCTTTCGGCCTCCAAAGCCCATCCCAAAGAGCGAGGCAGCCTACCCTGCGAACTGGAACGACCTGCGTTGTTTCGTGAACGAAGGCGGCAGCCGATTTGCGCGCAGCAATAGAAACGGGAGGAGGCCATTCAGCCCCTCGAGCCTGTTCCGCCGTTCTATCAGACCACGGCTGATCTGTGCCTCAACTGTAATTACCCGCCCTCGCCCCGCACCCCTTTAATGCCCCGACCTAACAAATAGCTCCGTCTTGAAGGTGCGAGTGGACACAATGTCCCACCAACAGTCACGGAGAGAGAGAGACAGAGAGAGAAACTCCCTTCAAAATGTACTGTGGGATTTTCTAACGTCCACCTGAACAGGCAGACGGGACCTCGGTTGAGCTGAAGGAAGGAGAGAGGGTAATAGGTACGAAGAGAGCTCAAAATGATGGGTTCTGTTGCCCTGTTGGCAGGGAGGTTAAGATGACTAGATTTTCGTGCATTTACGAGTAAATTTGATATCAAATGCGAGGATTATTATCATTATTATTATTATTAAGTCCCATTCCCGAGAACCGGTACCAGCCTGGCTCAATTTGATCTCAATAGTCTCGGTGACACTGTTATACAGTGCTGAGGGGGTAATCAAGCAGTAATAATAAATAATAATAGTAATAATATTATTATAATAAAATTGGCGTTCACTTCCTGGATGTTTTTTTTTTGGAGCATTGCTGCTGCGCTCACCCCCGAACCACACAGACACCGACTGCCACGTTCGACTACAACCTGCACAGTCACTACACTTTACAGGGAGCCCTGTGAAGCACTCGTAAGTAGGGAACCCGGTTGTGAGTCGATTGGCCGATCGCTTTTCGGGTATAATAATTCCCTCAAAAAAAAAATGCGGTCACTTCAACCCGCGGCTGTTTGTGGGGACGCGGCTGTGCGCAATCGGCTGTCGCGTTTCGCCCACAAAATACACAGTCACTACACTTTACAGTATATCCTGTGAAGCGCCTTGAGACGTCACAAAGACGTGATAAGGCGCCGTATAAAGGTGCAAGGATTATAATCATTATTATTATGATTTTTATTATGATTATCCGGCACACAGAACGAAGTCAAGGGTTCTTCCCTTCATTCAGACTGTCAGGAGGAGACAGGGAACGTTGCCTGGTGCCTGTTTCAAAGTGGCAATCTGTCGTGCGAAAGATTTAATAATAATATAATAGTAATCCTTGCATTGTATGGGTTACACATAATTCTTTGTCTGGTAACCTGCAAAGGTTCTTCAATAAAGAATACATTCTCACTGTTGTGGGGCTACGCTATTTATGATCTGAATTCCAGTATCATCTTACAAATCTGAAGCTCTTAGGCAAAATAGCTGTTCTCATGACAATAGCATATTTTGCACAATTTGGCAACAATTCCCATTGATCTGGTGTTTGGGATAAATACGACGTGAAGTGCATCTCAATGCCGTTTGTGAGACAACTGCCGCACGCGCACCGGTTGCCGCGTTTGCTTCGCCAAACACTCCATCACTGACACAGAGGGCATCCTGTGAAACACTGCGGAGACAGCCTTGGACATGGAGGGCTCTGTGTCAAATTCTCTCCCCCCCCCCCCCGCGACCCCCGCCCCCACCACCACACACACTCCCCCATCACAGATGATCAATCCCTCTGCCTCGACCCCTCCCCCCCCTCCGTTCCTATCTTCGAGTCGTGCCTGAAGACCTTCCTCTTCGACCAGTGCCAATGGAGATCGAAAGCACGGTCGAAGAGGAGGATCTTGAGATGGGTCTTGAAGGAGGCGAGGGATAGTACTATAATAATAATATTGTTGTTGTCGTTGTTGTTAGGTGGCACCACACGAGTCAGCGCTTGATGCGAGCTTTGGATTCCAATGGGACGGACCCGAGCCCTTTGCTTTCTCTCTCCCGCGTCTGACCCACAGGCCCCACTCGCTCCTTTCCCCCCCCCCAAAGGAAAGCAAACCGTGTCATGTACCTGTTCGACGTTGTAGGCCAGGAGCACGTACTTCATGTCCGGGGAGACCTGGTACTTGCTGACCTTTAACGATTCCTGTTAAAAATAAACACATTAAAATTAAAAAAAAAGTTTCATCAACAGAAATGTTAAAATGGACCCCGGTTGACCTTTCGTGACCCAACAGCCTTACGCGGCGTCACTACGTTTGGAGTTGTGGAGCCCCGCAGCTTACACAGCGCCTCATCACGTCTCCGAGACGTCTCGAAGCGCTTCCCAGGATGTACCGTAAACTGAATTGACCGCGTACTTTGTGGGCGAAACGCGGCAGCCGAGTGCGCAAATTGGCTGCCGTTTTCGCCCGCAGTCAATTCACTTGACCGTGTTATCCCGGGAAGCGCTTTGAGACGTCTCGGGAGACGTGATGAGGCGCCGTACCAAAGGCCAGGATTGTTATTATATAAACGCAAGCTGTTGCTGCTGTTGTACCGGGCTGTAAGAGCAAGTAGAATCAGGAGAGCGAGATCAGACCAGGCGGGTGATGAGTCGGGCGGAGTTGAGGGGCCGAACAAGATGTTTCTGCGCTGTACCAGTCTAGGATTCAAGGTTAATGTTTACAAGAGAGAGCAGTACAATGGCTGAGCTGGAGATTCGGAAGGAGAACAGAGGTGGATCCGAACTCTTCTACGACACCTCATTACAGCAGGTGATTGATCGGTGAACAGAGCGTTGGGAACAAGGTCAAAGCAATTCTCTCCCAGCCCAGATTTCACTCTGGATTCCGAATTCGAGATTTCATCGGTTTCACCGTCGTTCCAACAACAACCTGCGCAGGGGAAATAATCATTTAGATTTTGGGTTCATCCGACAAAACACGGACACCCATCGCCGTGCTTAAGGGTATTCAAACCAGTTTGAGGGTACCCAGCGTCCCACCTAACTTCCCATGTTTATAATAATACTAATAATAATCGTTGCATTTGACACGGCACCTCATCACGTCTTCGAAACATCTCAAAGCGCTTCACAGGATAACACTGTAAAGTGAATTGACTGTGTATTTTGTGGGCGAAACGCGGCAGCCGATTGCGAGCAGCAGCGTCCCCACAAACAGGTTGTGACACAGGTTGGCAAGGCTTGGGCAGCCCAGAGTGCAGGTTGCGGTAACTGATGGAGTTTAACCAGGTAAAACTACATAGCTTGCCATTGAGAACACTGTACAGCAAGTCAGTACCCAATGTTGTTGTTGCTGTTGTTGTTGTTGTGTCTCGAACAGAATGTGCACTCTCTCCACGCCACGCCCCGCCTCACCAAATTCCAGGGAGTATGAGGCGCGGGTTGGTAAGAGCCAAGGGTTTGGGAACGGATGATGATGGCGAAAGCGGTACTGCATTTGCTGAGATCGAAGGACAAATCAGGTAGAACACACTGATGTGAGACAGAGCTGAAAGTCTGTGAATGTTACAAGATTAGACTGAACAGACAGACAGACAGACAGACAGACAGACACCTGGAGGGTGAATAGTGTATCGAATGCAGGTATTATTATGTTATCATTAATAACTCGGTTCCACTGAAACCAGGCGTGTGAAGGACACTGCTCTGAGCCGCAGATAGAGATTTACTGGGAGTGAAAGAGATTTGCTGCAAAATGGTCTCGAGTTAATGAATCATCACCAGGACTACTGGTGGCCTGAAATTTCACACCAGCATTAGCTTCCGAGATGAATCCTGACCGACCTTCCCAAAGCCTATTCTGAGGGTATTGAGCCAACTCGCCCACAGCAACACAGTCACTTTACCGCTTCACAGGGGAGTCCTACAGCCAGCTCAGGGGTTAGAGCCCTCGCCTCGCGAGCGAGAGGACCCGGGTTCGATTCCCGGGCAGGTCAGGGCGAGACATTGGGCAAGTTTCCTCACTCCACACACACACACACACACACGCGCCTCTGTTTACCGGCAGTCAGTAGGAACCCGGTTGTTAGTTGATTAGTGGGTCAATTGTCCAGGTGTAATAATCCCTTCCAAATAAATAAAAAATAATTTGGTCACTCAACCCACGGCTGTTTGTGGGGACGCTGCTGTGCGCAATTGGCTGCCGCGTTTCGCCCCCAAAAATACTCAGTCGATCCACTTAACAGTGTGAAGCGCTTTGAGACGTCTCGAAGACGCGATGAGGCGCTGTGTCAAATGCCAGGATTGCTATTATTATTCCTCTCTCATTTGAATTTATCCCGAGGTGGGAGCAATGCTGGCGGGGCCCTTGTAAATCCCTATCGATAGTTTCTCTCTGGCTTCGCTCTGTCTGTCTCTCTGTCTGTCTGCTTTTTTTTTTCCCTTCGTGTTCAGCCCCCCGCCTCTCTCCGTTATTTTGTTCCTTCCCATTAAAATCCCATTACGTTTCCCAGTCTGCCCCTGCAGTGAAGCCGGTGAAATTTTCAAACTCGAACCCAGCCAAGCTTCGGCGAGGGCGCGTTTCAATCCAACGTACCACGAAATGAATTAGAACCTGGTGTAATGACTTTTGTGCCTATTGACTTGCAAGATAATTTTTTAATGGATTTCATACAAAAATCTACTGTAAACGCAAGGCACCGTGTCCCCCCGCTTACCCCTCGGGTATAATCTCTTTGTGGTTCCAATCTCAAACCAATTTTGGAAGAAGGTGATGAACGGTTTCAGTGAGGAAACTTATTACAGTTTTTCCTGGGGTAAACCGATCTCACAGCAATACGCTTTCAAGACAGAAGGTATTGATTTGCCGTTTTTCTGTCTCGCAGGGGAACAGAAGGTAATAATAATCCCGGCGTCTGACACAGCGCCTCGTCACGTCTGCGAGACGTCTCAAAGCGCTTCACAGGACACGCTGCAAAGTGAATTGACCGTACATTTTCAGGTCGAAACGCGGCAGCCGACTGCGCACAGCAGCGTCCCCACAAACAGCCGTGGGATTAAGTGACCAAATTATTATTATTTTTTATTTTTGCCCCAAGAAGTGACTACATTTTTAAAAATGTATTTCGAAGGCATTATTACCCCCAGAAAAGTGATCCTCCAATCGACTAACAACCGGGTTCCTACTGACTGCCGGTCAACAGAGAATCGAACCCGGGTCCTCTCGCTTGCGAGGCGAGTGCTCTAACCGCTGAGCTACAGGGACTCCACAGAATACAGTGGGCAATGCCTGACATGAAAATATGCTTTATAAATGTATATTGCTGTTGCTCTCGCTCTCCCGGTCTCTCTCTCTCGCTCTCCTATATCATCCCGCGATAACAACAACACAAATCACAAGTGCCCAGAGCCTTTCACGTCGGGAGGATGTACGTCCCGAGGTGCTGGACACTCGGGGATCTGCACTCGAGCTGGTGGTTGGCATCAGGAGGGGGTGGAGGGTGGGGAGGGTCGGGGTTAGGAGGGTGACTGAAGACGTGGTTGAAGAGGAAGGTCTTGAGGATGGGATTTGACAGGTGCGAGGGAGGGGATGGCGTTCCAGAGGGTTAGGGGGGCAGAGTGGCTGAAGGCCCGCCTGCTGATGGTGGGGGCGGGCGAGCCGGGGGACGTGGAGCAGGCCGGAGTCCGCTGAGCGGAGGGAGCGGGCGGGTTGGTGGTGGGGGGGGGTTTAGCAGATCGCAGAGGTGACAGAATCTGATACAGACACCGTATCTTCCTGGCGACAGATGACAAGTTCTGACAAGTTCATCCGGAGTTTTAATCTCTCTTATTAAACTCCAGAAACCCGGAGGGGGACATGAGCTGATCGCTGGCATTTCTGATGGTTGCTATGAGCCGTGTAAACATTCACCTGCAGCCTCCACCCCCCCCCCCCACCCCCTCTCCCCCGAATCAAATCACCTGCTCTCATTTCCATGAGCACCCGCGGGTGTATTCCATCTGCTCCTGGCTCCTCATGAATATTCAAAGCCCTTCACTTTTCAAACGCACGTGTCTGCCCGGCTCAGTGAGCAGAGCTCTCGCTCTCTCTCTCTCTCTCTCTCTCTCGCTCCTCTAAACGCGGCAAGAGGTTGTGCGTTCGAACCAACTGTTTGGAAACTTGTGCAGGTCTACGCTGGAACTCAGTGCCGTGCTGGGGGGGTGGAGGGTGGGGTGTGGGGGGTAATCGCAGAAACTCCCCTTCCCTTCCACGTCCACCAGACCTCGGTTTACTATCTCACGTCACAGACCCATCTTTACTCCGCACCCCCTCCCCCGGAAAAAGAAAAAAAAGGCCTCCGGGAGATTCAAACTTGCGGTGAATTTCTTTCTGGAAGTCCAGATTGGAATATATTAAACCGTCCGTAACAGACTTGTTGTGAACTGTGAAGTAGATTGATGAAGCTTTTAATTTGCAAAGTAGCTTTTGATGGCACCTCTGGGGCGAAATAGGGGACATTAAGACATCACATTAAGTGTCTGCTGTAATGCAGCATTAAATTCTATTTCTGAACTGTAATTGTCTGACTCTGATATAATGGCAGTTTGATCATATTTCTATAAATAATTGACACCTATCTAATAAAGATCTCAGCACTGCTTCAATAACTCAGGTCTGAATACTCAACTCCGGGCAACTCACACAGATTGGATTAACACTGTGATCGACATATTCGGAGGTAACTTAAAACCTGCCCTGGTTACAAAAGGCCCCAACAAACAGTGACCATCACAGAAAGAGTGACTGCTCAATTGTGGAGTCCTGTGTCTCAGGGGTTAGAGCCCTCGCCTCGCGAGCGAGAGGACCCGGGTTCGATTCCCGGGCGGGTCAGGGCGAGACATTGGGCAAGTTTCCTCACTCCACACACACACACACACACCTCTGTTTACCGGCTGTCAGTAGGAACCCGGTTGTTAGTCAATTGATGGATCGCTTTTCTAATAATTCCATCAAAAATAAATTTTAAAATAATTTGGTTATTTCAACCCGCGGCTGTTTGTGGGGACGCTGCTGTGCGCGATCGGCTGCCGCGTTTCGCCCACAAAACACACAGTCAATTCACTTTACAGCGTATCCCATGAAGCGCTTTGAGACGCTCTGTCAAATGCCAGGATTATTAATATTATTGTTAATATCTGCTGACAGGAAACCACTTACAAATCTCTGGTTCTCCATCAGGAGGGTGGTTGCGTTGGTTTCCACGTTCAGTGTCACCAGATGTCCCTCGCGGTTGCGATACAGCAGATCGGTGTCTGCGAAGAGAGAAAAGGCATTTCGAGGTCTTAGTAACTTACACGGGATCTATGCGAATGAAAAGAGACACAAGGTTGGCCCACTGGAGTCCTGTAGCTCAGCTCGCCCCGCGAGGGAGAGGCCTGGGTTCGATTCCCGGGCAGGAAGGACGAAATGTTGGGCAAGATTCCCTACTCCACACATCTCTGTTTACCTACACAAGTAGGAACCCGGTTGGCAGATCGCTTTTCCCGGGTAACAATCCCTTCCAATAAATAAATAAATAAGTGACTAAATAAGTAAATAAATAATTTTGTCACTTAATTCCACGACTGTTTGTGGGGACGCTGCTGTACTTCGTTGGCTGCCGAGTTCCGCCCACAAAAACATTTTGGCTGTTTGTTTTGTGGGATATTACTGCCGCATTCACCTACACACATTAATGCTCAGTCACTGCACTTCGCAGTAAATTCTGTGAAGCACTTTGAGACATCCCTCCACGTTAAAGGTGCTGTGTGGATGATGATAATTATTTTTTAACGTTTACCGGAACAGGTATTCAGAACCTCGGTTTAACCGCCCATCAGTAATAACAATAATCCTGGCTTTCGACACAGCGCCGCATCACGTCTTCGAGACGTCTCAAAGCGCTTCGCAGGATACCTGCTGTCAAGTGTAGTGACTGTGTGTTTTGTGGGCGGAACGCGGCAGCGTCCCCCACAAACAGCCGTGGGTTGAGCGACCAAATTACTATTATTTGGTTTGTTAACCAGTAAGATTATTTGCGATAACCTCTTCTGTTGTGTGCTTCGTTTATGCTGTTAAATTCATCACTTTATAATTACTCTCGCAACTTAAGCTACCGGCGTGTTTGACTGAATTAACACAGGTTGTCATAACGCACCTGTCCTCTCGTACCCTCAACCTTTAATGCTCATTTATTTATCTACTCCAAACGTCGGCGCCTTTGAAAATATTAATATTAATAAATATCCTGAGCAGGAACATAATTCTTTTTTCTTTAACGAGAGTTATCCCGAGACGTAAAATGTAGCGGCTCTGTTATCCAGGAAGAAGATTTATTAGCTAGCGCTAACTAAGGAAGCGCGGCAAAGAGATTTATGTCAAAACACTGAGAAGAACTAACACTTTCTCACACTTGGAACCAATTTGACGCCAGGATTCAAAACATTTATTTCGCCTCAAATGCCGGAAAATGCATCGAGTTAAAAAAAAAATACCTCTCTGCCTGCGTCTACAGTCACCTCCTTCCCCCCCCCCCCCCCACCACCCCCACCACCCCCTACTCTCCCCCTTTTCCACCTCTCTCTTCTCCCCAAAACGTTGGGCAAGTTTCCTTACTCCACACACACTGTTTACCGGCAGTCGGTCGGAACCCGGTTGTTAGACGATTGGTGGATGGCTTTTCTGGGGGTAATAAACCCTTCAAAAAAAAAAATAATAATAAATTGGTCACTTCAACCCACGGCTGTTCGTGCGGAGGTCCCTCGGTGCAAAACACACAGTCAATTCACTTTACAGTGTATCCTGTGAAGCGCTTTGAGATGTCTCGAAGACGTGATAAGGCGCTGTACCAAATGCCAGGATTATTATTATTATTATTATTACTGCGAATAATAATCCTCGCGTTTTGATATAGCTCCTAATCACACCATCTGAAAGTGCCTCACAGAATTCACCGTGAAGTGTAGTGACTGCCAAACAATGCTATGCGGTTTTAGCTGGTTAAGACTCCAGCAGTTTACTCCCCCCCTCAAGCGTTGGCTCTCGCCAACCTGCGGCTGAAACTCTCTCTGGAGTGTGGGAAGCAACGGAGAGAGAGAGAGAGAGAGAGAGAGTACACATTCCATCCCGGACACAGGGGAAATTTCCATGCGTAGACGGGGTCCGTGTGTAGAACTCTCAGTCAGGTTCGGACAGCTCTTAAACACGGGGGATGAGTTTCCGTGCGTGTTAGACCCCCCCCCCCCCAACCGACCGACCGACCAAATCAAAGCTAATGCATGAATTAAAAACTGATTAAGTATAATCAATTCGTGCGTGGAAGCAATTCTTCCCCAAACACCAGAGGGAGTGACGAGGCTGATGCATATTCATATGCGGTACCTTGAGTTGAAATGCAATTTCCCTCTTTATTAGCGATGTTTATCTTCACAGCATAAATAATTCAGAAATGAGCTGCTTTCATATGATCTTGTGGCAAACAGCGTTTGCGCACTGAGGCGTCCACCGATATTCATTACTGCAGCACTAGGTTGCAGCTCATTACTCAATAAATTGCTTTGCTGGGTTTATTAGTAATAAAAATCCTTGCATTTAATATTCCGCCTTACGCCGTCATTAAGACGACTCAAAGCACTTCACAGAATGCACTGAGTAAAGGGAACTTTTTCCACCTAATGTCAAAGAGTATTGGGCACAGGGTTGGCTGAGGCTCGGAGAACCCCCAGAGTGTGCGATAATAATAATCCTGGCATATGATATAGAGCCTTGGCGCGTCTTCTAGACGTCTCAAAGCGCTTCACGCAATATACGGAGGTGGGGAGGAGGGTGGGTGGTGGGGGGGGGTGTGTTGGAATACTGTTCAGACTCTGTGACCTCCTAACTCCCTGCCAACCTGTCCGCTCCCTCTGGCCTACTTCACGTCCCGCGCCTCGCCCGCCCAACCATCGACGGACGGGCCTTCAGCCTCTCTATCCTCCCCCCACCCTCTGGAACTCCATCCCACAGTCCCTCCGCCTCACACCCCCACCACCCCCACTTGTCCTCCCTCCCTCCTTCGCCTCCTTCAAGACCCTCCTCTTCGACCAACCGCGCCTTCGTTCACCCTCCTACCCCCCTACCCTCCCCCTCCCTCCAGATCCCAATGGCTGACTGTCAGCGCCTTGGGACGTACATTCTCCTGACGTGAAAGATGCCGTGTGTAAACTTCATGCGTTGTGATGGTGGTGGTGGTTGTTAGTTTGGCGGCCGGGTACCAACGGTTAAATTAATTTTAAATCCCCCACCCGCCCCACCCGCCCACCTACTCACCCCCCACTCCTCACCGGAGGAACATGGGCCTGGGCTCTGAGTAATGGGCACATCGCGAGCCACTGACAGGGAATGCATTAGACGAGGAAAGCGAGACACGGCGAGTTTTTAATGATATGTAACTTCAATCAAAGACAAGATACGGTGCTTAGAACTTTGGCGGTAATGAATCCTGTCCAACACACAGATGAGAAATCTCCGGCTGATTTATGGTTGTCACCGCAGCTGAACAAGGTCGTTGTTGAATCTCATTTCCCCCTCACCCACCCTCCTCCCCCCCCCCCCCCCCCCACCCGCCGCTCACTCCTTCACATCAGCGACGATTGATGCAAATGACGCAGAAGATAGTAACTTCCCAGAGATACGCCTGCTCACGTGATTAGGGCAATGCATGTTTCTTTTTATACTCCCCACCCCCTTCCCGCCCAGCCCCCACCTCTATTCTATCATCCAAAACTCTGCAGCTCATGTACTCTCACGCACCAGGCTCCGTGACCCCATCACTCCCACCCGACTCCACTGGCTCCCCGTCCCCCAGAAGATCGAATTCAAGATCCTCACTTTCAAGGCCATCCATGGTCGTGCCCCCTCCTACCTCTCCGACCTGTTGTCTCCCTACCAATCTGCCCGCTCCCTCCAGCGGGCTCCGGCCTGCTCCATGGCTCCCGCCCGACCCGCTCTACCATTGGTGGCCGGGCTTTCAGCCTCTCTGCCCCCCATACACCCGTCTTCCCGACGTGAAAGGCACGCTATAAATGTAATTTTGTTGTTGTTGATTCATCACTAGTTGGACATTACTGTGCACAAATGGCTGCTGTGTTGCCTCTAGCTAGGTTAGGTTGGGTTGCCCAAGGAATTTAAATCAGAATGCATTTGCAGGACTCAGTAGTTTCCCTTAGATAATAATAATACTAATCCTCGCATTTGATACAGCGCCTTATCATGTCTTTGAGACGTCTCAAAGCATTATACCACAAAGCGAATTGACTGTATATTTTGTGGGCGGAACACGGCAGACGATTGCGCACAGCGGCGTCCCCACAAACAGCCGCGGATTAAGAGACCAAGTTATTAATGTTATTATTATTTTTTGAAGGAGCTGTTAACCCCCAGAAAAGTGATCCGCCAATCGACTAACATCCGGGTTCCTCCTGACTGCCGGTAAACAGAGGCGTGCGTGTGTGTGTGTGTGTGGAGTGAGGAAACTTGCCCAATGTCTCGCCCTGACCTGCCCGGGAATCGAACCCGGGTCCTCTCGCTTGCGAGGCGAGCGCTCTAACCACTGAGCTACAGGACTCCACAAGGTGCTTTCCGAAGGTATCAGACACCCAGCTAACCAAAGAAATATCAACTGCTGGTATTACTGTGACAGGTGTGTGTTCGAAAGTGATTTACACATATGAGCTGAGAGAGAGTTACTTCTGCCAGATAGAGAGCGAAGCTTTCTGCCTCATGAGATCGAGGATTCATCTTGTTGATGAACGGCAGACTTGAGGGTGATTGAAAGTGCTTCATGTCACAGAGCAGCCCAGTCTCACACCACACGTGGTGACGGCAATTGATCTGGACAGATGCAAAGTATCCCGAGATGACAAATTGGTTCAGATAAAGAAGACCCTTCAGTCCATTTAATCTCATCAGTTCCAAAACAGCGATCCTACCATCTTCCCGCCACAACATCAAGCGTTTTTGTTAAAAGAAATGTCCTGGTCTTAATCACCCTTCCAGGGAACCTGTTCCAGTCATTAATTACCCTCTAGATAAAGAAACGCTTCCTGTTATCTGTCCTGAAATTGCCCTTCGCAACCCTAAACCTATCTATGTACCTATGTTCTCTTGTTCTAGTATCCGGATGATGATAATAATAATCCTTGCTTTTGCACTATACAAATGTAATTTTGTTGTTGACGCAGCGCCTTAACATCTTCGAGACGTCTCAAGGCACTTCACAGGATACACTGCAAAG